CCCCAATCTGAGCTATCCTGAGAAGTAAAGCTTTCTTGCCTCCAGCCCAGGCAAGCTCCCAAGCCACAGGAATGACCCAGCAGATATCAGCTGTTCACCTCAGACAGAACCAACCCACATACTAAGGCACTGTTCTTTAAACCACCATGTATTGAATGTTGATTGTTACACAATAACAGATAACATAACGGAGATAATAAGATACACCAGAGGGATACAAACCGAAAGAAAATGCAATTAAAAAGACAAACAAATAAGTAAGTCATACTATGAAATTTGGTAATTCTTGACACAAAGCTCCTTTCGCTCGTATAGGAAGGCAGGTATAAACAAACATCTCCACTACGCAAACACATGGAAGATGCTGTATTAACCTAACAAGCACCAAGGCAGGCATGGAACTGGGTGGACACCAGGGTTAGGCCTTCTGGTCACAGGCACAATGCTAACCAAGGTGTTTAGGTGTTTGGACGAGGAAAACCAAAATGTGGTCTTGATGAGGAGGTGGGAATGCAAACCACTGTTGCCCACTCAACACAGTCACTGGAACTGGGCAAGCTTCCAAATAGAAGTCAAACCTTAGACACAATGCCAAGCCCCTGAGACGCTGTGCAAAACTGAGGGCTAGGCAGTTAGAGCTCTTCCTACCACAGTCTCAAGAGCCCATCGGAGCCGAGCGGTGGTGGCGCATGACTTTAATCCCAGCACTCGGGAGGCAGAGGCAGGTGGACCTCTGTGAGTTTGAGGCCAGCCTGGTCTACAAGAGCTAGTTCCAGAACAGTCTCCAAAGCTTCAGAGAAACCCTGTCTTGAAAACAACAACAACAACAAAAAAAAAAAAAAAAAAAGAGCCCATTGGAACACATTTCACAACTTCAGAAACAACGGATGAATGACAGGAAAACACTGTTATTGGCTCAATTATTTCTACCTCAAGATTTCTCTAGATTGCCTGAACACACTTTACCATTTGGTAACTTAGGCTTCCTTGTTCTTTATGACATTCTGCTTCGCTGACATAGCCACCTGAAAGCGCTTTTAAACTCTCTGCTTAGCAAACTCCCTAAAGAATATTCCCACATTTTAAAATCTTTGAAGTTAGACACATATTGTAAGCTTCCTGTCTTCTATTATCAAAAAACATCTGTTGACTGAAGAACCTTCTCGAAGCCCTGTGGGAAGTTTTCCAGCTGTCCAGGACGGATCAAAACTGTGATTTCTACTATGAACACTGAGTGTGCATTTAACCTGAAATTTGTACATAACAAAACACTGAGGAGAGGCGCCGTGATCTTCCTGTAGTCTCGCTAGGGGTATACCCATGAGTGTGTCCGGAGTGGCATATTACATCCGCGTCTGTTTAGGTCCACTCTGAATATTCCTAACAGCGCGGGCACTGTGTCTATTGACACACTACATAAAGCCTCCATGGCCCCCACACACTGGGCCCTGATTCTCTCCTGGGCATGAAGGTGTTTTCCTCAATACTCCTTCTGCCCCATTCCTCCAGCATAGCGACTCTGTTTTCTTCTGGAACTTGAGCTCAGTGAAAATGAGACCTCTGGAAATGTGAGCACCCTCAGCAGAATTGTTTTTCAAATTTTGTAGTTCAGCTGTGAACTGAGGAAGCTGAAGCCTCTTCTGTTCAATGTGCTTGAAGGTTTGACATTTAAATTTACCTTAAAATAGTCTTTGCATGAAAATCCAAGAAAGGGAGGACTGTGGTTTGTACCTTGGCCTGAACTTTTATATGAGTGGGACACAAACAGTGGCCGTGTTGAAGCTGGCTGTAGGATTTGCTGCTGGCTTTGATTAGAGCAGGAGCAGCCCAGGATCCAAAGAAACCAGTAATTCATATGACTAATTCTAGCTTTCACCTAACCCTCTACCCCGCCCCCGCCCCACCCAATCAGCATACATGGAAATGTTCCTAAAGTCATTCTGGTCTTCCGAACGACTGAGTCTCCTCATACCCTGCCTATTTCCACAAAGGAGAAGTGCTCCCTGGAGCGGAGCTTGCAAAGGCCAGCGACTCCCCCTGCGCAATCTTTCTGCGCAGGAGTGGGACGAAGCATCTCTCACTCTGAGATGTTTGGAGGGAGGAGGGCTTCTGAATTGTAGAAGCGTCAGAATGATGGCTCTGAAAATTGCATTTACACATATTCAAACACTCTAAATTGTTGTTGTTGTTAGGTTTTTTGAGACAGAGTTCCTCTGTGTAGCCCTGACTGTTTTCTCACTCTGTAGACCAACCTGGCCTTAAACTCAGAGATCCACCTGCCTCTGCCTCCAGAGTGTTAGAATTAAAGGTGTATATCACCATGCCCGGCTTATTTTTTTTTTTCAAAATACCATTTAACCTAAACTTTAATTTTTAAAGCATATTGAAGTGTCATCTAAATAGACTCCGTTACAGGTACTGTTTCCATTTTTAAAGTTCCCTCTCCCTCCACGTGTATCACTGACTCCTTTTAACAATGCCTCCCATTACAATTAGGAGATTGAACTGACTAGCCAGAATTTAACAAGCTAGTCTACAGAGACTGCACACAAAGTATGTCTATGCAAACGCCACTCGGAATGTACACCCTGGGTAGCAGATTTTGAGAATGTATCATAAACTGACTACTGCCTGAGGTATGCCAAAGCCCCATACCCCATGACTCCATTTGATAAATGCACTGGCAACCCTTGCCATGCCAAGGAGTTGTGTCAAACTAAACCCTCACACCTCTTCTCTTAGAGCTCCCTTTAAAAAATGAACAAAATAGGCTCCCCTGCCCCGTGTCTGTGTTCCTATGTTGAATGCAGAAATTTCTAGATGAAAATCTTACGCAAACATCCCAACATAAACAAGGAAAGTAGAGTGGCTGTGGGGCTTCAGAGGAGACCAGAAGCCCTGTAATGACTTCCAGTTAGTTCATTAAGTCTCTAGTTCGGGACAACGACCACAAGCACATAAGCTCTGCTTCTCTCCAGAACTAAAGAACACAAGAAAGGAGTGGAGTTAAGTCGCCCTAAGGTAAGGGTGGAGGAAGGAAGTACCAAGAGAAAGTAGCGTTCAGATGCTTGCTGATGCTCCAAGGCCCCTAGTCAGCAAATGGAGAGCTGAGACCATCTGTGCATTATACCTGGAGCCCCCTCCATCTGGTAAAGGCATCCCTGTGCATCTTAACAGGCTGTGCATTCACACGGTCACCCCTGCACACAGTGCCTGGGGTTCTGGTGCAGAGAAGAGCTGGAGAAAGACAGTAAGGGTCTTTGGAAATAAAATACCCCTTCCTGGTTCCCTTGCTCCAGTTCTAGGGTATCCAACAGTCTCATACAGACATATATGCATGCAAAACATTAATGAATATAAAACAGAAATAAATAAAACATTTAGAAAGCTCAATAACCTCCACTGACATATAGAACTTTTCATTTCTTCTCCAAAAATTTGCAAGCTTGCTTCTTATCATAACCTCCAGGAGCTGATGCATGAATGCGTTTTGTTTCCTCAGTGGAAACAGAGATGTTACATAGCTATAGCTGTTAGACTTAAGTACCTGGTGGTACTTGGAAGCAGAAACAAAGATGCTGTTGTCAAGGTAACCACACATTTTTTCAGTGATAGGAATAGCTACCATGTTTCCTATGCTCGAGGGAATACATATTGTAAAAAGATTGGCTTAGTGCAGATGAATATTTACTACTTAAAAAGAATACCCGCTTCTTTATAGACTTGTGAAATGTATTTAGACTATTCATACACCTGTCAAAAACATCTTATCTTTCCAAGGCACCTAATCTTATTTTTCTTTGCCAGCAGAATTGAATGCATCCAGTAATAACTAATATCTTATGCTACCCATAATATATCAATACATCTCATTTTATACATTAGAAGACTTATTAAATATTCAATTAGCACTTACAATTTCAAGAAAGACCATGGTGAATTCTGTGTAGAAATGCATTTACAGGACTATTCATTAGTTATGAAAACTCTTCCTTCACAGTAGAATCTCAGAAACAGAGGCCAATTTTCTGAGATCTCAAAGGTTGCATGGGAGTTGACAGACCCTTAGGGTAGCCCGGGAATGCAACAGCAAGGAAGAAGCAGTTCCACAACACAGGGAGCAAAGCAGAAGGCAGGAGCAGGGAGGGAAGGAGACAGGATGTTTGGGTTAGTGGCAGCCTTCTGCTTTGCTCCCTGTTTACTGAGCTTCCCTGCGCTAGGCTCTGGGGTCAATGCTGGCTGTTTCTGTGGGGGGGCGGGGGGTAGAAATTAGGCTCAGCAATGAGAAACAGGCAATGTAGTGGGTTCATCTTTTCTTCAACCGCACTAAACTTTATTTTTGCAGATGTTGGTGCCAGTGAAATGCTCACCAGTGAGAGGAAGAGATTTATTTCTAGTCTATATTATTGTGTTCTCGCTCGCTCGCTCGCTCTCCTGAAAACCCTAAGAATTTTATATCATTACAAAGTTTCTCAAAATAAGACGAGACAAATTACTGATATTTCCCTGTTAGGTCAGACTACTGTACAACACATAACTAGGTGACCAGACGCTGTTTAAATCCCAGCACACGCCCAGAGACACATCTATTCTTTACCCAATGAAAGCGAAAGGGCTAGTTCTCTTCCTATAGCATTTGGAGAACACAGTATGCGGCTCCGTGAACCTTGGCCTTTCAGTTTGTAAAAGAAGAGATACCACTGCCATAGCCATCTCAAAAGACCGTATTACTTCAGCGGGTAGTACATTTGAAAGGTGCTTTAGGTGAGTCTGAAAGCTGAGTGTAGTGAGTGACACAAGACTGTCATACCTGCATACAGGACGCTGAAGCAAGATCATGTTGTGTTCCAGGCTATCCAGGGCTATATAATGAGATCCTGTCATAATAATTAACTAAATGATTTTTTTTTAAGTTTGAAACCTGGAACAAGTGTTATAAGAGGTGTGGTTATTCCGTGTGTCCTGGTGAGGATTTTGGTTCGTTTGGTTGTTGTTCTCACCTTCACACATGCTAGAGTCACCCGGAAGAGGCAGCCTCAGCTGAGACAATGCCATCACTCCGGCCTGTGCAATTCGCTGCAATCAGTGGAACATTTTCTTCATTAAGGATTGATGCGGGAGGGTCCAGCTCCCAGGGTGGTGCCACTCCTGGGCAGGTGTTCCTGTGTTAAACAAAAGAACAAGCTGAGCAAGTCAGGAAGCATCCCTCCACGGGCTCTGCCTCAGTTCCTTCCTCCGGCTCCTGCCCTGACTTCCCTTGTTATCGGCGGCGACAAGCTGTAAATGAAAGGAACCCTTTCCTGCCCAAGCTGCTTTGGGGCACGGTGTTTCTCACACCGAAGGAAAGCACGCAGGACACCGTAGGTAGCTAAAGCAGAAGGTTCCTGCTACCCACGTCAGAATGAACGGGCTTTGGGCAGGAACGGGAATACCGGTGAAAGGGGTAAAAACAGGTCCAGAAAAGCTCTCCGCGTGAGCCGTGACGTGGAGAAAGCTCACCTTGAGCTACTGCTCCCTCAGTGCCCTCTTACTGATGGAGGGACACTAAAGTTGGTCGCTTCTCTAAAACTACCAATTCCTCAGGGCCACCAGAACCAAGGAACGGATCTGGGGAGGTTCTTTGGAACAACCAAGACTCTCTGCTATGCTGATTAAGTCCAAACTGAAATGTGATTTTAGTCGACTGCATGTCCAATGAGGAATTTAACCGTGGTAATACTGAAAAGAAATAGTAGATGAGAAACGGGAGAAGCCAAAACCCACAAACCTCGTGAGGCTGCTCCTGACATGATGCTGTAGTCAGTAGACTGACCGGCAGTAGCCGGGGCCTTTGAAGGCCTCACTTTCAGCGACAGTTGCAAACCACCGGAACTAAAACACATACGTTAAAATCTAAGAGTATGAAGGCACGGGAAGTGCCAATAGCCTCTCAGAAATATGACTTGGAGCTAAAAGGACCTATTTACCCGTGGGGATGGACATAAATAACAATCATCATTGAATTCTATGACAAATTGTAACCAGCTCTTTCTCGGATCAGAGTGTTCAGGAAGACTGAGACTGGGTAAAATAAGCAGTGCTAGCCCCTCAGCAGTGGCACCTGTCTTCACAGCTACTGTACCCACCAAGGAGCACCAGGAAGCCAGTCTGCACTCCCCTGGATGCTGGGATGGATGAGCGGCGTGAGCCAAGAGGAAAGGTACCCTCTGAGCCAAAGTCTCCAGCACAAAGCACATTGTCAGACTGTTGCACAGGCTCCAGGAGTGGGGGTGGGGGTAACCAGAGGAAATCCACAATGTTTTATTCCCTGCAAATGCAGCACAATCCACACATTCTAGCCAGAGACAACAAGAGTCTTCTCCCTCCCACTGTAAATACCACGAATAAGTTGTTTGTCAATAAGTCGCCCATCCCCCAAATCTGCCACCATGCTGAGTCGGAGTCAAAGTACAACACTGCTCTACTTTCCTCACCCTCTTGCCCTCCAGCAGAGGCCCTAAGGAGAATTCATTCTAAAGGTCAATTTTGATTTCTTTTAACTTTCATTCACAGTGTACTGTGTAGTTGTAATGTGACATTAGCACCTCTGATATGCCAGGCACATTCTGAATCTTTTTTTTTTTAATTTATTTGAGCTAAGGGTCATATATAGTAAAGAGATGGATGTTTAGTTTTGTTCAGGCAGACTCTCACTACGCAGCCACAGAATAGCTCTGAACGTGCCATCTCTCCACCTCCCTTTCTCCAGAGTGTCTAGAGTCACCAGTATATACCACCGCAGTCAGATCTAGGCACATTCTTTGCTAACGCAAGCAAGCTCAAACATCCTCAAGAATTCATATCATTCTTTGTATTTGTGGAACCGAAGCACACAACTAGGGAAAGCAGGTATCAAGTCTAGACCTAGAGCCTTGCATGTCTGCATGTCTTGCTGTGGGGACCCCTTCAGCTGCAATGAACAGGTGCCACTGAAGACTGCATTATCCAGTACTCCTCCTTAAAGTCACATATTAATATCATATAAAGGAACATAGTAGGATATGATATTGCAAACTAAGATACTTGAAGATCAGTTAAAAATAATCCCCATTTTATTTACCAGACAACATCATTTCCTCAGACAGATCCAAATTATTTGAAAGGAAAGCAAAATGCTCGCTCCCCTCCCTCCCCCCCGTCTCTTACTGTAGGCCCAAGCAATTGCAAACATCCCATACCTGTCAAAAACGTAAAGCATCAGAAGAGGCATCCACCACCTTTGGTCCTGAAGCTATAAAGCTCAGGCAGGAAAAGGTCTTAATCTTCTTTAAAGGAGAGAGGTTCTTAGCCAAGATCTACCCATGAAACCTACTCTTTGGAATCACAGCGGCTACTTCCTCTTAGATACCAAAAGTAACTTTTCTAAATGCAGTTTTCAGGACAGCAGAGCCTAATCATCTAAGCCAGTTCGCCACATGAGCTCTTTTTGTTGTTGTTGGTTTGGTTTTGATTTTGAGACAGAGTTTCTCTGTTAAAATCCCTGGCTGTCTTGGAACTAGCTCTGTAGAGCAGGCTGACCTCGAACTCACAGAGATCCACCTGCCTCTGCCTCCCGAGTGCTGGAATCAAAGGCATGCACCACCTTCATCTGGAGCCACGTGAACTCTTATATATATTATCAAAGACATATGTGTGAAAATACATATGTGCACATATCTTATATGGCTTCAATCAAGAGCCTCCCATTTGAAATACTATAAACTACAGTAAATGGAGAATCAATTTATGAAGTGACAAGGGATTACTAGAACATTAAACAACACTGGGCTTTCCCCAAATTCTGCAAATGGATTTTAGCCTAATGGATTACAAGGATAAGCCCTGGGTACTTGCTGATAGCACATCTGGAATTACTGTCTTCTGGAACTTCTGTAGAATGAGGTGTTCGCACAGCCAAGCACAGCTCACCCCCTACTGCAGTGTGTGTGTGTCCTGGGCTTCACCCTTTTTCAATAGCAAGTTCAAATACCAGAACAGCTTGTCCGGGGATCACGTTGGCAGGAATGTCCTCATCTTGGAAACCTGGGGACCAAAATATGCTCATCCCTAAGAAAGGCAGATCCTGCAGATAACAGGGACTGGTCAGCATTCTCACCAGTCATAGACCTGCCGGTTCTCACACTCCCACCCTCTTTCTAGTATCAAGCCCATCTCTTCACTGTTTGTAAAACAAAGGGCAATACGAAGGAAGTTGAAACATGTCTTAACAAAATAGGGAAGAGACCTGGGGGAGCGGCGGCCTAGGGAGAAGGGACAATTTTCACAGCGGCATTGAAGAGGCATGGGAATTTACAAGCTTTTACTGTCAGTTCACAAGTCCTGTCTCTTTAATGGTCTGACACTTGGATTACAAATGTCCGTGGTGTGACGTGAGTGGGAAAGAGTAGGCAAGAGACCCAGCCAGCTTCTACCTCCATTCCAGTCATTAACTAGACCTTCATCCTACAATACATGAGCTGCCTCCCTCGCCTCAAATGCATCCATCCATAATTCACATAATTCCTCTATCCTGCAACTCAGAGGTTTGGGTTTTTTGTTTAACTTGCATGGATTGAGTGTTTTGCCTGCAAAGTGTGTGCATGTGCACCACAAGCACGCCTGCAAAGATCAGAAGAGGACATCAGATTGCCTGACACTGGAGTTACAAACAGTGTGGGCCACCATGTGGGTCCTGGGAGCCAAATTGGGGTGTTCAGTAAGAGCAGCAAGTGCTCTTAACTGTGAGCCATCTCTTCAGCCCTGACTCAAAGGTTTTAACTGAGCCCCAAGGGGAAAGAGAGCATCCAGTCTATTGAGGATTACACAAAGCATGGTAATACACCCTATTTTCATCTATTTACATTAGTGTGAATTCATTGTTGTTTTTAAATGAATTAACTATTCCTCAGTCTTAATTTCTAATCCAGCAAACATCAACAAAACTCTTGAAGTACTGGATAACGTTCAAGAATGCAAGGGGTTCCTGAGGCCAGAAAGTTTGAGGATTGCTAGTACAATGGTTAAAAGGACAAGTTGCAGAGCCAACTGCCAACTCAAGTCTCACTTCTGCCACTGTGTGACACTGGACACAGTCCTGAGCCGTTCTATGGTGCTTAACTTAGCTCTAAAGCTGTCAGAGAAGTAAATGACTGGTCCATGCACTGAACTACGGACACTATCCATCATTTTCTTTCCTGCCCGTCTCAGCCACCACCGTCTCCTTTCCCATCCCCACCTCGCCCCGTCGCCGCCCACCCTGTGTTTTTGTTCAGCTGGAAAGGGCCAACAACAGTTGCAGTAAAGCACGGCCACCGCTTTCCTACCACTGCCCTCCAGCAGCCAACTGTCCTTTGAATTTGCCCTTCACGGAAGCTCCATCAGCAAATGACAACTAGAAAATCAAAGTGAGTCAGGCAACGTTTTTAAAAACATGCTATGTCAGACGAATTTGAAGGTAGCATAGAAAAGCTAGCCTTAGGAATAATCAATGAAACAGGAGGAAGTGGAGAGAAAATGCAAGCAATTACCTCCATTCCTTAAAGGAAAAGGTACTATTTACCCAAAGTGCCTTCAGTTTGAGCTGCTTTTTTGTTTTGATTTTTCCTTCATCTCTTTCTCAAGCCATATGGTGCTTTTTTGATGGACCAGATTTCTATCAGACAAACGTGATTGACAAGCAGCCATTTGATCTTGGAAGAGGGGCAGATCTTGGATCTTTATAATTATTTATAATAATCAAATTATGATTATTCACAGTCTCTCAAATCTACAACTCTAATATATAATATATATATATTATGTATATATATATATAGATATATAGATATATATATATATAGAGAGAGAGAGATAGGGTTTTGGGGGGGGGTGTTGTTTTGTTTTTCCAAGACAAGGTTTCACTATATAACAGCCCTAGGTGTCCTGGAATTCATTCTGTACACCAGGATGCCTTGAACTCACAGAGATCCACCTGACTCTACCTTCTGTGTGCTGGGATTAAAGGCATGCACTGCCACAGCCCGGCTCTAATTTATATTTTAATTATTTCTTTAATTTTTGCTCCTTGAACGCTCCTATTTTGCAGCTGAGAAAGCTGGAGCTCAAAGAAACTAGCAAACCTACCCAAAGCCACAGAACCAAAATGGCAGAAGTGAAACTGAAGACTCATGAAACTGGAGCATTTAAAGAGACAGGCGCATAGGTACACAGAGCAGGAAGCAGAGAGCCCTGGCTGGAGTTGGGGGTGGAGTTACAACTAAACTAATTTTATCAGGGGGTTACCACATAAGCAAATGGGCCCTAGTGTGGAAATAACCTCCAGAGTCTCCCCAGAGTCTCCCACAACCTGTGGGGTGCACCACTACAGCTCAACCTATACATCTCAAAGTATAGTTTTTTAAACTTTAAAGTGTGTGTGTGTGTGTCTATGTGTGTGTCTGTGTGAGCGCACACACAGTCAGGGGGAGGTCCTCAGACAACCTTCAGAGTGGTTATCTCCTCTCTACCATGTGGGTTCCAAGGATCCAACCCGAGTAAGTCCTCAGGCTGGTGAGCGAATATCTTTACCCACTGTGCCATCTTACTAGCCTTACTTTTTAATCTACTAATTTCTTTGTACAGTGGCTATCTTGGAAATAAGAGGGATTTTTTTTAAGATTTATTTTATGTTTTCCCTGAGACAGGTCTCACCTATGTAACTCTTGCTGTCATGGAACTCACTCTGTAGCCCAGGCTGGCTTCGAACTCACAGAGATCCACCTGCCTCTGCCTCCCGAGTGCTGGGATTAAAGGCATGCGAGACTACACCCAGCTGAGATATATTTATTTTTATTTTTTGTGTATT